GAATTCCTCAGCACCCCCCCCCCCCCCCCCCACTCTGCTGAAGTCATATTACGTTAGTGCATACCCACCATCTATTAAGAAAGTTACCCTATATGGCTGGCTGAGGAATTGTGGGAGTTGAAGTCCACACGTCTTAAACCAGAGATCTGCAACTTGAAGACTGGTGGACTTCAACTCCCACAATTCCTCAGCCAGCCATATAGGGTAACTTTCTTAATAGATGGTGGGTATGCACTAACGTAATATGACTTCAGCAGAGTGGGGGGGTGAAGCTGGCTGAGGAATTCTGGGAATTGAAGTCCACAAGTCTTTACAAGTTGCCAAGATTGAAGACACACACACACACACCCGACCCAGATAATTCTCCTTCAGCTAGGCAGGTCCTCGACTTCCACCATGTTTCCCCAATGCAAGCCATGGAAATCGACAGGTACTCCTCGACGTCCGACCACCGTTCAAGCCCCCCCCAAATTCCCGTGGCCAAGCGAGGCACTGAGCTCTGCCCGCTTTTGCGACCTTTTCTTGCCCCCGTGGTTAAGTGAATCCCAGCAATTGTTAAAATTAGGAAGAAGAGAGTGGTTCGACAAATCTGGCTTTCCCATCGATGTTGCTCGTCGGAAAGTCGCCAAAGTGCCATTGGGTGATCCCGGGACCGTAAATACGAGTCAGTTGCCAAGCATCTGAATTTTGATGCAACGGTCGTACGTTTGACGAAATGGTCCGAAGTCACTTTTTTTTTTAGTGCCGTCGCTAACTTGGAACGAGCTGTAAGTCGAGGACTGCCTGCCTTTTGAGTGGAAGGCCACCACACCTGTCCTAACAATGAGGGACACTGATAGGGAGCTAAAACTTTACCTGCCGTTGTTTTCGGCCGTTCCTGAAGCTGGGGACCCCCAGTTCGACCCCCGTTACAAACGAAGGGTGCCTGGGAAGTCTAGTTTTGGGGACCAGGGGATGGGGAAAAGGTCGTGGGTCGTTCCCCTGTCTTTTTTAAAAATCTGGCTTTTAAAAAATTCCCTTCAAGGTTCGATAGTTCTACGTTTTGATCGACGTCTCCGGCATTGTGTTTGGCCACCCCCAGCCCCCTCCAGCAAAGATTTCCCGCAGCCCGGAACTTTGCCAACAGTTTTTGAACCTTTATTCGGAAAACGCGAGGAGAGTTTTTGAGGCTCGGTTCGTCGGGCCGATGCGGAAGAGGAACCGGGGGGCAACGGAGTCCCCGCCCGTCTCGGGCCAAGGCGATGGTTGAGCGGCTGGCCCCTTTTTTTTCTCGAGTTGTCTCTCGCAGGGAACGTTCACGGCGAGCGCTCGAGGTTCCTTTTGGGAACGGGAATGTTTGAAAGCGCCAGAAAAATAAACGAGTTTACAAATCAGCTTTCTCGGCGTGGTCCTTGAGGGGTAGCTTCCTTGAAAGACCGAGGAGGAGGAGGACTGTGGGGTCCCGGGTGCTCTCTGAGCTTGGGGGTTTTCTCGCGGACGTTTCGTAACCCATCAAGGGAACGTCATCAGTGCTAGAAGGGAGTGTTTTTTGTGGAAGAGGAAGAGAAGAGTGAAGAAAGAAGAAGAGGAGGAGTGATAGATCCTTGGTGCTCTCTGAACTTGGTTCTGCGTTTGCAGTCCTGAGCTGGGTGGTTTTTCTTGCAGACGTTTCATGACCCAACTAGGGAACATCATCCGTGCTAGAAGGGAGTGGGGGTGTGTGGAGAGGACGACACTGAGGTCCTTGGGGCTCTCTGAGCTTGGCCGTTTTCTTGCAGACGTCTCATAAGCCAAGTAGGCAATGTCATCAGCGCTGGAAGGCAGGGGGATAAGTGGAGGAAGGTGGGGGAGGAGGAAAAGGACTATGGTGTCCTTGATGCTCTCTGAGCTGGGTGGTGTCCCTTGCAGGCGTTTCAGGGCCCAACTAGGGAAGATTATCAGTGCCAGGAGGGAGAAGGAAGGGTGGAAGGAAGGAAGGAGGACTGTGGGGTCCTTGGTGCTCTCTGAACTGGGTGGTTTTCTTGCAGGCGTTTCAGGACCCAACTAGGGAAGATTATCAGTGCCAGGAGGGAGAAGGAAGGGTGGAAGGAGGACTGTGGGGTCCTTGGTGCTCTCTGAACTGGGTGGTTTTCTTGCAGGCGTTTCAGGACCCAACTAGGGAAGATTATCAGTGCCAGGAGGGAGAAGGAAGGGTGGAAGGAGGACTGTGGGGTCCTTGGTGCTCTCTGAACTGGGTGGTTTTCTTGCAGGCGTTTCAGGACCCAACTAGGGAAGATTATCAGTGCCAGGAGGGAGAAGGAAGGGTGGAAGGAGGACTGTGGGGTCCTTGGTGCTCTCTGAACTGGGTGGTTTTCTTGCAGGCGTTTCAGGACCCAACT